GGGGAAGGGGGTGTAAGGGGCGCGAGGGTTGACGTGATGGGAAGGCCGCCTGTTTGCAAGAGGGGGACTGCAGGGCCGCGTGACAGTCTTGCCACGACCCTGGCCGCCGTTGTTTCAGACCAAGGGGGGGCGATCCAGGGCGCCCAGGGTCTCTAGGGGTGCGAAGGGCCGTGGCGCTCACTGTGAAGATCAGCATGAGGATGCCGGGGAAGAACAGCGACACGTGCAGCGCCACACCCACCCAGCCCGTGTAGCTGCGCTCGATCTGGCGCCGTCGGGTACGGGGATGATGGGTGCGGGGTGGTCGTCAGGGTGGGTGGTGGCCATGTAGCGCGCGCGCCCAGGGAGGCTGCTCGGGCGGCTGCTCATTCCTGGCGCCTGTGTGCACCTGCTTTGCAGCAGGGTCGCGGGCGCTGGCGCTGCAGCATGGCTGCATCACTGAAGCCATGCCACCGCGGTCGCCGCCCCAACGGCGCCCCAACGCAGCCCCAGAAGGACCAACCCCTGCCAGTTGGCCCCAACCCCCAACCCCGCCCCACTCCCGCGTCCGTGGGCGTCGCACCTGGCCCCAGAGGAAGACCGCCACTGCGCCTGCCACAACCGACATCAGCACGTACGTGATGAAGGTGGTGGTCAGCAGCGCGCCGCGGCTGGCGGGCGACAAAAAGCCCAGTGTGGCCAGGACGAGGGTGACGAAAGTGACGCACATCACCTGCAGGGGGCGAGGGGGTGAGGTTAACTGGATGGAGGGGGACCCAAAACACAACCAGGGTGCTGGGCAGAGTTGAGGATGCCGGATGTGAAGCGTCGAGCCGGGCGTGAAACCAAAGCGAGCGCCTCCTAGGACAGCTGGGGTGCGCGATCGCTTAAAAAGCGGGGCGCCTGGAACGCAGCCCCGGGGCCCCACCTGAGTCCCCGACCCAACATAGACGCAGAGCGCCTGGGGGTGCTCCGGCGCCCTGAACACGTCCCCCGTGAGCAGCTTCCAGCCGGCTTCCTCTCTCATGTCCGTGGGGCCGTCGACCATCAGCTGCTCGTACTTAGCCAGGTCCCGCCGCACCTGGGATGGCGGACAGCACGTGATGTTGTGCTGATGATGTCAGCAATACCGCATCGAACCAAGATCTGCGGATTAACATGCTGGCGAATGTCTCATGCGTAGCAGGCGGACTGGAGGGGCCGACCGGCCGCAGGCGCGCAGAC